GATCACATAGAGAAAGTGACCAGGTAAAAGGTGCACTCGCATTTAAATTGCGGATGAATGGCGGCAAATGCTTCTACCTCTGCTCAGAGCAGCTTCGCATCGTTGAATTCAATTAGCACATTGCATTTTGAGCCATCGTTGTGCACTGGCCAAGAGCGTAAAAGACTAAAATAAACGCAAAACACATTTTTGTCTGTTCACCTGATGATGATGTTGATGATGATTTGCCACACTTTCGATGTTTAGGACGCTATTTAGACCACTTTACACAAAAACACAATTAATAACATGTTTCATTTACAATTCTAATACCTCGCACATATACACCAAGTAAAATTAAACTTTAATCTGATGCTTTTGATGCAAGGAGATTGAAAACACTGCTTTGCCTGCTCAAACCACAACTGGAGCAAATAAACAATTTTTGGCCTAAACTTGGAATTGTTGGTTTTCACATACTAATTTTTTTACTTAAACTTTGCACATCTGGCAGTGAAATGCAAGTCAATGCAGCAAACAAATTATAAATTGAAAATGTCACTATGCCCTTCTTTTATATGCAGCGCAAGTAAATCATTCAGGGATTGGGCATTGCTTTTCACTGGTTATTTTTGACCTGTTTAAATTTGTGATGGCACTTAGGGATAGCTTGACCGATTCTTTACAGTTTGAAGGATGACATTGAAAATAGGTCAGCAGTGAATTTTTCGGTAGTGTTTTCTGTTGCAAACGTAGTTGGTTGAAAATGAATGTGTGCCTTCTTCACCTTAGCCAATGACTAATGATCAATGCGTATGCCGTACGACTGAGCACCCAATCTCAAAAAGAGCGTTTTCAACCACTAACTCTTATTTTAGCACATCTTGAGTGGATTCAATTTCACTAGGCGCTGAAAATGAGCAACGCCCGAAAGAAAAGCAAAACTAAAATACAATAGATTACATATGCTCCAAATTGTGATCACTTTAATTAAATATACAATGTGTCGGCTACTTACAACTTTCTAGTCTGGTAACCGTCCTCTAGTCTGGCAGTGTCGCGCTGAGGAAATGATTAATCGAACAGGTGGTCACACACAGGCGGCTCAGCAGCGCACGGTAGCACTTGCCCTCAGTGGCAATTACTGCTCTCTAGTGGTTACTATTGGGCACACTATGGCCATGCCTATGTAAATAGAGTTGTAGAGTTGCAGTTGGAGAGTGCTTTCCATTGGAAATCCATTTCTCTAATCTTTTTTAGGCAACATTAGTCATTAGTATTTGGTTGTGTGGCTCTATGCAGCTGATTATGTCAATACATCTGATTTATTAGATTAGAGTGACAATGGCGAGATGTGTTAGTGTTGGAGGGTGATTCAAATGTTTCTTTCATGACAGTTAGATGCGCGTAATGATTTGGATACTTAGAGCTAAGGGTGAAAGAAATGGTAATAAAAACAAATGACCATCAACGGACAGAAAGGAAATAAGAAAAAAGAAAGAAAGAAACATGGTCAACAGAAGAAAATAATAATTCGGTCTAGATGACAGTGGTCTAGTGAAAAGGGCGTAGGTTCACTATCAAAGAAAAATGAAAAATAAGGCACCTTAATTTAATAAAAAGGACAATCAAGTTGCGATGAGAGTTGAGTGGCGAGTTCTCAAGTGGACGAAAGTCCTAAGCATTCAGTTTGTCCATTTCCACACCAGCGGAGGATGGATTATTGCCATTCTTGAGCAGGCCATCATTGCGGCCAGAGGTGTTCTTGGGGCCGCCGAAGTGCTCTTGAATCTCTTCAGAAGACTTTCCCTTAGTCTCCGGAAGGGCCAGCACGACAAAAACGATGCTCAGCAGAGAGCATGCACTGAAGAGGAAAAAGGTGCCGTGCTTGGTGATGGCGTCCTTCAGAGCTTCAAAGTACTTGGACACAAAGAAAGCACAAGTCCAATTGAAAGCAGTTGCAAAGGCGCTGGTAGCGCTGCGAGACATGTCTGGGGTGATCCTGGAGGGTACAAGAAATAGTTATTTTGTTTGTCAACTCACAATTAAATCACTAATACTTACTCAGCAATCATCAGCCAGGGCACCTGCACAAATTAAAAAATACGTGTAAGTGTGTATAAAAACAAAACACCCTAAGCTTACCGGTCCCCAGCCGATTGAGAAACCGATGATGAAGACGACCAGACTAGCCAGTGGCACCCAGCCAAAATCGCTGTTGGTAGCATCATTACCAATGCAGTAGTAGTAGAGACCGAGAGCGGCCGTGCTGAGCACATGCAGAGCTCCAGAGGCGCTCAGAAGAATCTTGCGACCAAGTCGATCGACGAGCAGACTTCCAGCCACGGTGGCAAACACCTGCGCCACGCCGACAATAATGCTGGCAATTTTGGGCTCCAAAGAGCTGCCTGACTCACTGAAAATGCTTGTGGCGTAGAACATGACGGCATTGATGCCAGAAAATTGCTGAAAGAACATCAGTCCCAATCCAAGGAGCATTGGACAGAGGTGAAACTTCTGCGCGTACAGCGCCAAGCTGAAGCTCTGACCTTGTTCGGAAGCCTTGGTTTGCTCTTGCAGTTGGCTCATTTCTTGATCGGTATCGCTGCCTGCGCCGCGAAGGCTCTTCAGTGATTGTTCGGCCTCCGAGCGCTTATTGTGCGAAATGAGCCAGCTCGGAGTTTCCGGCATAAAAAACATTAGTATTGCCATGAGGAGGGTTGGCACAGCGGCAATACCCGCCAAGTAGTTCCAGTCAATGAAGGCGCCAACGACGTACACCATGAGAATGCCAATGGTGACGCAAAGCTACAATAATAAAACAAGTGCTTATCAGGAAGGCAGTCGAACAAGACCGATGATGAAACATACCTGGAAGCAGGCACCGAGAAAACCTCGAATGCTAATGATTGAAATCTCCACCACATAGGTGGGAGCAGTTCCAGAGAGCAGGCCAGCGCTAAAGCCGGCAATGATGCGACCAATGATAATAATGGTGACCGATCTGGCAAAGGCCATCAGCAGCCAGCCAATGGTAAAGGGAATACCATAGGCAATGAGCGCCTTTTTGCGGCCGAAAAATTGAGCCATTGGTCCTAGGAAAAAAGGCAGATTTTCATTACTTACAGTGGCAACTAGTTTACTCTGGAAATAAATACCTGAAATGAGTGCTCCAACGAGAGCACCCAAAGTCATGCTGGAACCAATCCAGGACTTGGCGGCCTTGTCATCGGCGTTGTCAGTCAAGCGCGGCACGCTGCCATTTTTGGACATGGTGTCAAAGGCTGGCGAAGTCCAGCCCAGCACCGCTCCCATGCCTAGTTGATGGTGGGGGAGGAGATAGTTGTAGTTGCTGTGGTAGCACTTGTGCACAATGGCTCCCAACAATGGCTGTCCACTTACCGATGGCACCCAGGAGGGCCGAGGCGGCAGCCAAGTAGAGGGTGGCAGAGGGCTTCTGCACTAACTTTGCTTCCTTGTCCATGTTTCTGCTGGCTTCGTCGATGTCAGAAGTTGCAAAAGAACCTTTGCGGTTGAGGGGCGACCTGAAAGTTGTACGAATTCAATATTACTGACAATTGACACACTGGACGGGAAAGCCGTGTTGTGACTCGCTTTTATAAGCGACCCAAAAATAGTTCGAACATAAAATGCTAAAGTGCACGGCAAGACAGTGCTCAAGCTGTTGTAGTGAGTGAACACATAAGTCTACGCGGTGACACCGGTGCCTAGTCTATATATGTATTTATATAGACTTTAGTAGCTAATGGATAGCGCCCAAGAAGCAACACAGACGCACACACACAGGCACTGTGCTTCCTGCTCGAGCTGGCCAACTTGAGACAAAGCACATGCGAGCAGTTGAAGTGAGGAAAGAAGGCAAAAGCGCGCGCACCCACGGCGCAGACCAGATAAAGTGTGCTGGTCATGGGACCAAGTGATGCAGTATGCTGCAACACTGATGAAATACTTGAACCCGACTTGTAAGTACCTGCTGCAGAGAGCAAACTCGGTGAATGCCTTCTTGAGCCAGGTCATTGTGGCCGCTTTCGAATATCATTAATATAGCACAGTCAAATGATTAATAAGCGATAAAACAATTTGCCACATAAAAAATGATCAAAAAGCATTGCGAGATTAGTCGGCTGCCTGAGCGTGTGAGCATTGCAGATGCTGACTGGGCACTGGTCAGCAGCTCTGGTCACACTCTGGTGTCGCACAGCACCGCATTTAATTAAAGCCATCGAGTGGAGCGTGATGCAAGCAATGCAAATATCGGCCTAATTGAGGATTACATGCCCATAAGAACATTCTGCTCCACTGTGGCCTGTGCCTCTAGCAGACTGAGGCAAAGAGAGTTCCGCAAACGTTTGGTTCTGTCTGCTTTTTTCTCTTCAGTCGGCGGCAGTGAAGCTACTCGGACACTTTGACCACCTCGGACAGTGCCCGGAGAGGCGCATGTTCCAAAGGTGTTGGTTTGTGGTCAGTGGTCGAACAGCAGAGCGTGTTGGCTGTTTATCAATGCGAACAATTATAAACAAATCAAGCCAGCAGGCTTACACCGGCTTTAGCGCCAACTGGGAAGTGGCTGACGTCGATGGTTGCTGTTCAGGGTAGCAAACACTTTCGCTATCAATAGCTATTCACACCGGCTGGTAAGCGACAGTTTTAGCCGACTGACATCCTCGTTATTAAGGAAATCGGTGCAAACGAGAGCATTTGACGAATCGACTCACTCACTGAAGTTAAGAGGAAAAGTTGAGGGGCAAAAAAGACAAACATGCAAGTGCACCACACTGTACATACGAAAAGTTAATGGCAGAGGATTGTGTCGGCGTCACCAGTGAGAGGAGTGCTCAGTGTGTTGATCTGACGAACAGGAGAAACGTGAATGAAAAGAAGCAAACACTGGTTCAGCTCTGGTGCAGCACTGGTCTCTCTCTCTCTCTCTCACTCTCACTCTCGCTCCTTCTTCTGTCGTCCTGATTCCTTACATCAGCGCATCACTGCCAGTGTAGTTCTTTTATAGCATTATACTCGGTGTTGCCTCTGGTGTAGTGGCACGCGAGGAAAGACTGCCTTGAAGGAAAGCAAAGCAAAGCACTGTAGGCTGCCTAACCTTGCAGACATGACAGTTGGCGTCACCAGCCATCGACTACAAAAGACTGTCTGCTGAACGGCGAGGCGATTCAAGGATGCAGAGCAACAAGGTAGCTTTCTCTCTTTCTCCTTCCAAAGGTTCGCTTTCGCTGATAGTCATCATTATTACGTCTACCACAGTGGCTTCCACTACCCAGTAGCCAGCGAGCGCCTCCACTCTCTCCCTCTCTTTCTTCCCCCCTCTCCTCGCATCTCATGCCCTCTCTTCTCTATCCCTTTCCTCACTCTTTGATCGCATTATTTGTAGCTGCCAATTGGCAATGTAATTTCCCAGTGCGATTGAATATTCTTCGTGAAATGTCTGGCATTCATGACGAAATGAGCCGCAACAATGCGAGCAAACGCGCACCGGCTACCGACTTTAGCAACAACGGCGGTGGTGGCAGCGACAGAGGCGCTATCGAGGCGCGCAAATGCGCAAAGAGTGGCACTTTTCAAAAACACTTTCAAGCGGCACTTTTAAAGGTTGCCCTGCTAGCTGCACACTTGCTGATGTGCAAAAAAAGTGAGAGAGATTCTCTTTGATTCCCGCCACAAACTGGGACTGTGTGACAATTGAACAGAAGAGAATTTGCATTTTAAAATGGCGCTCTGCACAGCACTAGATGCTGACGATAAGAGGCGTAAAATGACACTACCACGACTTTGAAAAACGGAGCAGTATTTCTGACATGCATACCTTTCAGTGACGGGAGAATGGCGTGGTAGAGATAGTGTGGCAGAAGACGGGGTTGATGACGATGGTGCAGTGGAGAAAAAGTGGGGTGATGAGGTTCAGGCCTCCTCCAGTTTAGTCGGCTGGTAATCAACACTTGGTCGGCGGCGAGAAATGTAAGTAATTGCTTTCGGAAGTATCCGGCGTCGGTTTTCGTGAGCAGTGGTGTCAGTCGAATGGATGCTTTGTAAAATTGAACGGTTGGTGTTTGTAAAAGAGCGCGAGAGTGGAAAAACACTGAAAAAGTGAAACTCATGCACGCCAAGGCACGAAAAGTGGTTGTTTGTGAGTGGAGAAGACACCGCTAAAACCGCTGCAACACTGACACAGACACACTCAAACGGCGAACAAGTTAGTGGTCTCACGGCGGCAGTTTTTATACATTATCTATGCCCCCAGAAGCGTTATCAGCCAGCTATGAACTGAACTTGCATGGCATGAGCTAGCTCGTGCTGGCTGAACACTGCTGCTGGCGCTGGTGCTGGTGCGGTGTCGTGTAGCGAATTACTACACCACAACCCAAAAATGAAGCCAAAACTGAGGTAAACGGTGTTACTGCCACGCCAAGTTCATCCTGCTTCTCTGCCTCTGAGCACTACCACTTTGCAGGCTGGCAGAGTGGCTGGCCTGGTGCTCTAATGACTTTAGTTAACGAGCCAGTTTGTCGACACTCTCTTCAGCTGCCTCTCTTACTTTTTCAATGTAGAGGAGTGAGAGAGAGAGAGAGGGAGCGAGAAAGAGTACTCAGCAAAGTTGTTTGACTTGATTGAAAATAGTTCAATGCGCCAACAGTGTCAAGTGCTCTTAACGGGAGCACAGGTGCCGCTTACAATGAAGACTACTGAAGACGCTCCATCCATCCATCCATCTAATATGATGGTAACGGTCCTTCAAAGACTGTCTAGACACTTTCTAGTTTTCCTTTCTCTCCCTGTCGGTCAGCAAGTTAGGCAACTGTTGTCTGTGTATAATAAATAGAAATGTCTAAATGTCTAAACCGGCGCCGGTAAGTGGCGATAGTAGTGCGAAGTAAACTAGCTGACAGGTGACAAATGAGAGCATGTGTCAATAGAGTAAAAGTCAACACTTTGTCAACACGTTGTCCGCCTGGCTCATCCATTATCAGCCGTGTTTTACTTTGCCGACATCTTGATGAACAATGAGGAGGCTGTCTAAGGAGCAAGTGACTTTCAGTTGACACGTCACTGACTGCGGCTTTTAATTAGGCTGTTCACTTGCTCNGTAAGTGGCGATAGTAGTGCGAAGTAAACTAGCTGACAGGTGACAAATGAGAGCATGTGTCAATAGAGTAAAAGTCAACACTTTGTCAACACGTTGTCCGCCTGGCTCATCCATTATCAGCCGTGTTTTACTTTGCCGACATCTTGATGAACAATGAGGAGGCTGTCTAAGGAGCAAGTGACTTTCAGTTGACACGTCACTGACTGCGGCTTTTAATTAGGCTGTTCACTTGCTCGCCGCCCCCTCTCCCCTAAAAGAGAAAGAGGAAAACGAATAAAGCGCACCAGGCAAGGAAATGATAAGGGAAGCCACTGCACCAACGCCCATCTCATCACCCACTGTGGTGAGTTGTTCAGTGGCAACGTAAACACACACACACACAAACAGGCACCTCGTACAGATCTTGTGCGCTGAATGATGATAATTTGGCGCAAAACACGACTGATAACTGTGGCTTCATTTGAGACAGACAGTGCCCGTACGTGATGTTTGCTAGCTGTCAAACAGCAAATGTCACTTGGTCGATTCAATTGGCCATGATATTTCATTGGCGTTGGCGTTAGTTCCCTCGAGAAAGAAAGAGATGAGAGGATGGGATGAGAAAGAAAGAGAGAGAGAGGTGTCTGTCTTTCTCGCCACAAGAGCTGAGCATTGTCCTCACTACGGTTGCTTTATCGAGCTGCCCTCAGAGCTGGTCTCGTCCTACAAGACGCTCTTTATAAGTTGTGAATGCTAATTTGTGCATCTGATCAAATGTCGGATGTCGTCCTATCAATTCTACCCAATATTGACGCTACTCACTAGGTGCACACTGCTAGTCATCTATACGGCTATACTTGAGAGTCAGTTTCCAAACAAGCATTCATTATGTCATGATCAACACTATCTAGCGTCTTCAAGTCGGGTTGCTTTTTAGTTATCATCTGTAGAAGGCATTTAGGAAACTACTTAATTAGCCGGCTGTTTTCATTGGCAGTTAATTGAAAAAAGTGCTTTAGCGGCAAAGTGATTGGCACTTTGCCATCACTTGCAACACTGTTCATGTTGGCACAAATACAAAAAGGTGCGTCGCTTACACGCTACAATAACAATGCCATTTTAGAAGAAAACATGTACACTAATCTAATATTTGAAAATATTTTGCATTTCTTGTAGTGCAAACTACAAAATATTCAACACATAAAAAGCAATAGTTTTATCAAATTGATGAATTAAAGAAAATAATATTTTGTCTCTAAATGAGCCTACTACATTTTGACAATGATAGTGACAGGACAATTCAAATGTTTCCTATTTGTGCATGGATATAAGGTGGACTGATTGGCGCGTGGCAAACAAAAATAAAATGACCAACGCCAGCAAATGGTTGCCATTTTTGCCAAATTGACATCACTTGTCGAGGCGAATGTGCGTGGAAATGCTGCAAGTTAAAACGAAGTGGCCTTGGGTGTCAATCAGGAGTTGCCATCATTAGGGTGTGCTGAAACAAACTCGCCACCCGTAGTGGCGTGAATACAATGAACAAGTATGAGCGCTCCAAAAGAGTCTCTGGTGATGAGGCAAGTGATCATTCATAGGGTTATGTCAGAGGCACTCTCCTTTGGGACAACCCTCAGTGCTGCGAGTGCTGTACGAGCGTGGTAAACTGCCCAATCACAGCAATCAGCAAGCACTACGTGATGAGCATTGCTTTTCGGATACAAACATGCTTTCCACCAAAAAGCACTTTTCAGCAGAATAGTAGTAGTTGTAGAAAATAAAAAACTCTCCAACGGATCAAATTGAATTTATTCAACGAGACTAGGGGGATTAACAAAGATATATAACATAGGTAGAGCGAAGCAGAGACGACCATTCTATTGTGTAAGTGGTGGGTTGCCAGGATACACACTTTGAGGAGCTCTGATGCTGTAGCTTTGTTACTTTTTTTGTAAAATTTGTGTGTATTTACATGTTAGTCGATGCAATGTGGGCATCAACTACGGGGAGTAAGGAGGCGGTGGGCAGGTGGATGTCGGCGGCGGAAAAGCCATATTTGTTGGTCGGTTTGGAGTGCTACTGCCGGCGTTAGAATGGTCTAAACTGTAAAAGTGTGAATTCCAGTTTGGATTAAGCATCCAACCACCTGGCTGGTAAAAGGGAAAGTAACCAGGCGAATCGCTGTTTAGCAAGTCGGAAGCGAGAAGTGAACTCTCATCGCCGTTCAGTCGATTACGATGTCGCGAGTGACTCGATATTCGCTCAATGAATATTTGTCGGGGTCTGTTTCTAAATAGGTTGGCTGCAGCTGCGAGAATGGAGAGGAAGCCAGCCAGTGTGACCAGGTAGTAGCTGAGCTCAAACTTGACCTGATGCACCGTCAAAAAGTCGTACTGCGTCTTGTCCATGGGCAGTGGCTTAAATGGCTTATTCCCAAGCACTCCAACAGGTGCAGGGCGAAACTTGCGGAAAAAGTAGTGCAGTTGAGCGCGTTCGTACAGAATACTGACAAAGTAGCAGAGCCCAATGATAAGTACGCAAAGAAGGACGGTGATGATGTTGCCCACGGCATGGGTGCGCATCGTGTTCACCCATTTACGCTTTGCGCCAATTATATCCAGGAAAAACTGAATACTGCTGCTCATTATTGCAAGAAAGCACAGGCCAATGATTGCACGTTTCAGAGCAATGATTTGCGGTGTAGCGCATCCTAGCTTGTAACCAGGTGCGTACCCATAGAGTATTACGGGAGATGTGCTAGGGTAGCTAGCATGTAATGATCGAGCATTGATAAAAGGTTGCGGGTGGAGAGTAGGATGCTGGTCGAGTATTTGATCGGCTGAACTCAAGTCTGCGCAAAGGTAATTTCAAATTGAATAAACAATAAACCTTTTCGAACTCTTACCTTTCTCAGTCACTTCCGATTTGCTGTAGAAGTGAGAGTCACAGAGGTCGTTGTAAATTGAAAACCACTTGAACTGTGCGAGTGCAGTGGAGAGAATAGCAATGACGACTATGGAGAGAATGGCTGCAAGGACGTTCCGATCTTTCTCCAGCGTCCGAATACTGATTAATCCATGTGGACTTGGGTAGGAGTGCCGTTGAGAACTTCGGCTTCGCCGAGCACGGCGATGACTGGTGGGTCGGGTTGAAGCACTTGCGTCGCCTAAGATTCGGAAATGTTAGTATTTATCCAAGGCTAAGAAAGTTATTGCAATAGTGTTACCATTACATTCAGTCGTAGTCGTCGTCGTCGTTGCTGTCGTTGGAGAGCCTGATGGTGTTGATGGTGCAGCAGCAGCAGCATCAGCATTTCCGGGACCAGGCAAACTGGCGCTGGGTGCTTCGGAGGTAGTAGCATTTGAGAAGTTCTCACTACTATCATCATTTATATTAACTATTATACTATTTGATGCATTATTTGTACTAGGGTGAAGGCGAGTAATGCGATCGTGAATTGAATGTCGAAGTGAACGTATGGAGAGGTGGAGGTTATCGAGGCGAGTATTCAGTCGAGAGGCAATATCGCGGTAAAAGCGACCCACTTCAGGGCCTGGTGAGGCCATTCTAAGGTACTTTACAGGGTCAGGAAGGAACGAGAGTGATACTGTTGTGAAGATCGAGCCAACAATACTGTTGGCAGTACTGGCATCCAGCCAGTAGACAACGACGAAGTAAGCCAAGACAAGGCGAATGTAGGCGACAGACGAACAGCTCGAAAATCCTTGGCTCTTTCCATGTAAACACTCCGCTTTTAGCTACTCTCTCAATAGATGGAGCCAGGGGAGATTGAAAACCACTGCCAAATCCGCCATCCATTGGCTTGCAGGACAACCAACATTGGAGAATACCAGAATTTACGCCTTTCTTTCCGCCGGAATTACCACATGTAAGGGGTGGTAACCTAGGGACTATGAACACAGTAAAAAACAGTTCACCAAACCAAAGCACGAGTGGTGCTTGGGGAAAAAGTCGTAGGCAGATTACATAAGTTTTTATTTTGTTGTTGTTGAAAAATTATCTGCATGCCGTGACAAGTTACTCGCGGTTCAGAAGCTTTTGGCGAGCCATCTTCTTCTTCGAGAGCTTCTTCTTGGGAGCTTCGCTATCCTCTCCCTTGGTGACGACCAGTTCCTTCTCACTGAGCACCACTTCGATGTGGCATGGGCTCGACATGTAAGGGTTGATGCGACCGTGGGCACGGTACGTTCGGCGACGCATCTTGGGCGCACGGTTCACCTAAGGGCATAGTAAAAAAGTGGAAACGTTAATTAAGAGTTAAAATTATCAGCTGATTAGGTGTACGAACCATGATGTGCTCAACAACAAGCCGGTCGACGTCGAGACCCTTGAAGTCAGCATTGCTCTCGGCGTTTCGCAGCAGCTGCAGCAGAAACTCGGCGCTCTTCTGGGGCCAGCGACCCTGAGAAGTGCTCCAGGCCTTGCACTGGGCCTTGCGACCGACGCCACCGTTGAAGCGACGGAACGGGACAATCTCCTTCTGAACAACGACGTTCTTGAGGAATCGCTGGGCACGGCGAAGAGGCATCCGCTTGATGGCCTGAGCGGTCTCACGAGTGTTCTTGAAGTGCACACGGAGGTTGCTGCCGCGGGCCTTGCAGGACTTGGTGGGATTCTCGGGCTCCGTTTGGTAGCGCGTCATTATTCCCGATTTTGTTGATGTAACCCGATGTTGGGGTTGCTGACGAGAAGAGAAAAAGACAGAG